GGGGAGCTGGGGGTCCCAGCCAGCTAATGCTTGCAGAGGCGTTAGGCTGGGCAAGGGCAAGCCAGCGATCGCGGGGGAGCAGGGGCAGAGTTGGGGGTCCCCTGCCAAGCCTAACGCCTCGGCAACAGGCGTTAGGCCTGGGCAGGGGCGGAGCCGGCGATCACAGGGAGCAGGGGCGGAGCCGGTGATGGCAGGGAGCTGGGGGTCCCCTGCCCAGGCCTAAGGCCTTAGCCAGAGGCGTTAGGCCTGGGCAGGGGTGGAGCCGGCGATGACGGGGCGCTGGAGGTCCCCTGCCCAGGCCTAACGACTCGGCCACAGGCATTATGCCTGGGCAGGGGCGGAGCCCGCGATGGCGGGGAGCAGGGAGGGAGCCGGCGACTGTGGGAGCTGGGGGTACCCTGCCCAGGCCTAACGCCTTGGTCAGAGACATTAGGCCTGGGCAGGGGCGGAGCCGGCGATGACGGGGAGCTGGAGGTCCTCTGCCCAGGCCTAATGACTCGGCCAGAGGCATTAGGCCTGGGTAGGGGCCGAGCTGGCAACTGGTGTGAACTATAGAGGAAACACCTTTTCTGACTGCTCATTGGCTAAGCTCCCTGTATGCCACTGGTAATATTCTTAATAACTTGGGTAATAAGAATCCAATAAGGTGATCTAGGGTTTTTTACCACGTTCCTGGAGAAAAAAAGGAAGGTCTGCTGCTGGAAGGCTAAGAAATGTCATATCCTGCCCTCGCTGGTTTGGCTCAGTGGATAATGCCTCGGCCTGCCCACCGCAGGGTCTGGGTTCAATTCTGACTAAGGGCATATACCTAGGTTGCAGGCTCCTCCCTGGCTGGGGCCCAGGTCAGGGCTCATGCAGGAGGCAACCAATCAAAGTGTTCCTCTCACTTTGATGTTTCTCTCTGTCTTTCCCTTTCTCTTCCACATTCTCTAAAAATCAATAGAAACATATCCTCAGGTGAGGATAAAAAAAGAAAGGAAGAAATGTCATATCCTATGAAAGACACATCTTGAAAATGCCTAAAGAAAGTTGTCACTTTTTCATGGTGAAGGGACTGAAGTCTGTGTTGATGAAAACACCTTGGTGGCTGTGGTGACTGGCAGTGGCTGCAACAGCGGGGTGATGGGGCTGGTGCCTTCCCCTGATCAGCCCGGTCGCCTCCCACAAAGGGAGGCCAGACTGTGGCTTACGCCCGCTCCCCAAGTGGAGCAGGGAGCGGCCTAAGCCGTCAGTAGGACATCCCTGAGGGCTCCCAGTATGTAATAGGGGGCAGGCTGGGCTGAGGGACACCCCCCTCCTCCAGTGCACAAATTTTTGTGCACCGGGCCTCTAATTTATATTAGACTATAAATAGATGACAGGTTCAAATATGTTAATCTTCTAGGGTGATGGTCAAGAATAATCTGAGGGCTGAGATACTGCTGACAGGAAGAGTAAAGTAATACTAAATTAAAAACATCTATCTATCAAGGCAGGGAGCCCAAAGAAGATGGATATAGTATCCCACTGACATGGGAAGTATAGGACCCTTCACCTTAGATGGGATACTGTAGTCCCAGCTTCTGATAATCACCTTTCATTTTTTTAAAAAAATCATTTCTCATTTCATAGCTACACCCAAATGAGTAGAATAAAAGCTTCAAAACGGAAGATTCAATATTGTAACAATGCCAATTTTACCCTATAGGTTCAATGTAATCCCAACAAAAAAATCTCAGCAGGTTCTTTTTTCCAAAAATTGACAAGCTGATTTTAACATCATAAGAAAATGCAAAAGATCAAGAATAAATAATGCAATCTTGAACAAAGTTGAAGGGCTTATAGTATCAGTTACCAGGACCTGTTTTAAAGCTATAATAATTCAGACAAGATGGTGTTGGTGCATGAATAGAAAAACTCACCCGTGGAACAGAAGAGAAAGTCCAGAAACAGCCCCACACTATGAGTTTATGATGAAAGTGACAGTACAGAGGGAAAAGATGATAAAACACACACACACACACACACACACACAGCAATATAATGGGACTCTATGAATACTGCCTAACAAAGGACAGCATATCACTTAATGGTGAAACACACTGGAGGCATTCTCTCTGAAATTAGGAACAATTTAACACTGTATTAGAGGTGGGGTGGGGGGTGGGAATAGAGCAAGTTAGACTGCCAGAAGCTTCCCTTTCCAGTCAAGATTTAGCTATTTATTTTGAACTTTTTTCCCTCACCTTATCACTCTTGCAACGTGCTATCACTCATATGGCACTTATTTCATCGTCTTCAAATTCTGAGTATTTGTGTTATTTCAGCTGCTAGGGTGTGAGCTCCTCCAAGACAGGAACTGTGTCTAGTGAATATATTTCCTGTGGCTCATGTATATCGTAGAGACTTAATATTTACGGAATAACACAAACAGCACCAATCCTGTCTGGTTTACCGCCACTGTTGCAAAAAGGACCAGCAGCCCAGCCCAACCCCAGCTAACCAAATGCCAGGTACAATCATAATCCTGATAAAGCCACATGCTTTTATCTATTTCCTCTATCAGATAAACAAACCCAGAAGGCTTCAAAGTGCACCAAAATAAGGCTCTGAGAAGTGATTCTCCACAATTAGTCATCCTAAAAGTAAACAGAGTGATTCCCCACAGTCATCCAAAGGGTAAACCATGGTGATGGCAGACAGCCATAAAATAAAGTGAGGCTTGAAAAACCGCAGAACACCTCACTTTCCCTATAGCTCCTTCCGCTGGTCCTGATGTTGTTGGCCAGGGAAGGAAGATGAAAAGAAAATCGGAGCCCTTTAAAAATGTAAGGTTTTAATTCGAACTTTTAAAATAGCTAGCAAGCCCTGGCTGGTATGGCTCAGTTGGTTGGAGCGTCATCCATATACGAGTTTTTGGGTTTGATTCCAGGTAAGGGCACATACTTAGGATGCTGGTTCGATCCCTGGTCAAGGGACATATGGAAGGCAGCCAATCAATGTTCTCTCTCGAATCCATGTTTCTCTCATGCTCTCTCTTCCTTCCCCTCTCTCTAGCCCAGTGGTTCTCAACCTTCCTAATGCCGTGACCCTTTAATATAGTTCCTCATGTTGTGGTGACCCCAACCATAAAATTATTTTCGTTGCTACTTCATAAGTGTAATTTTGCTACTGTTATGAATCGTAATGTAAATATCTGATATGCAGGATGTATTTTCATTGTTACAAATTGAACATAATTAAAGCATAGTGATTAATCACAAAAACAATATATAATTATATATGTGTTTTTCCGATGGTCTCAGGTGACCCCTGTGAAAGGGTCGTTCAATCCCCAAAGGGGTCGCGACCCACAGGTTGAGAACCACTGCTCTAGTCAATAAGCATATCATCGAGTGAGGATTAAGAAAAAAAAGAAAAGCCCTAACTGGTTTGGCTCAGTCGAGAGAGCGTCGGCCTGTGGACTGAAGGGTCCCAGGTTCGATTCCAGTCAAGGGCATGTATCTTGGTTGCAGGCACATTCCCAGTAGGGGGTGTGCAGGAGGCAGCTGATCAATGTTTCTCTCTCATCAATGTTTCTAACTTTCTATCCCTCTCCCTTCCTCTCTGTAAAAAGTCAAGTAGAGGAACAGAGTTAATACACTAAAGTAATTTTTGTCCTCTTCCCTCCCTATTTTGTCAGTGATAATCATAAAGCAGCACCACTTTAATGTCTTGATATAGACTCCATTGTTTAGTCACATTGATTTTATTTCTCAAATTCATCCACCTCCCACTGCCACCAACTAGAGGCCACCATCACCTCATGCCTGGACAACTACAGAGACCTTCTCACTGGTCTGCTTCCCTCCTGGACACCTTCTGGTTGATTTTTCATATGGTAACCAGAATGATTTTGGAAACAGCACTGCCTTTCACTCTGATGACCAACATCCTGTGTGCAACCGCTCATTAAATAAAAGCCATGTAAGATAATTCAGAGAAACCCTTATTTTGTAAATACGGAAACCCAACGCCAAAAGAATACTGAAACCAGGTACCCACGGTCAGACAGAACCGAGGTCAGGATTCGGAATGCATGACTGCACAGATGGGCCTCATTTCAGTGAGCCATACTGCTTCTCCCAGGATGGACTGGTCCAGAGCCTGCTTGCAGGGCCACAAAATACTGTATTTAAATGGATTACCGGAGGCAAGAGGGGTGAGAACCTGGCCTGAGCTGATGCATGAAGGTTCACTCACAGGTAGATCCTCATGCCTCTGGATCCACCATCTCTAGCCAACCAGAGGACAGGGCCGGCATTCTAGATCCAGGACTATGTGATCCACGTGGGGTGCATAGGATTTCACTGGTTGGATGTGCAAGATGTGTGTCTTCCACGGTTTCCCGTGCACCTGCTGAAGCAGAGTGACAATTCGAGTTTCTGCAGACTCCGCCCACCTGTGCCACTCTGGCTTGATGGCTGCGGACAGCACTTTCCTCCTAGAATCCCCAGTAGCTCCATTTTCCCGTTGGTTACTGATAATTTGCTGAGGACAAGGCCAATCCTCCTTCCCCATTTCACTGTTTCCCGAAGGCTGGAGATTCCTCCCTGGGAAAGATTCCACATTTTGGTGGATATGCAAAATGCCCCCGGCATCCTTTCGTAGCACCCGGCAGGCAATCGGCCAGCCTTCCTCAGAGCTGGGAATCAGCCCCAGGTTCACCCGGTCCGCAATGCTTGAGAGGTTCAACTTCCTGTTGTCTCCAAAGTGTATTTGGCACCGACCTGCTACTCCATTGATCTCAAGGTTACGTTTCAGAGCCACTACCGCGTGGGGGTTCCACTCACAGGCATGGACGAAGGCGGCGCCAGCATGAACGAGGAATGGCAATGTAAAATAACCAATCCCCGCGTAGAGATCCACCAGCACTTGTCCAGCACAGGGCAGCGACGCCACTCGGAGCTTCTCGGTGATGTTTCCGAAGGAGAACATGCACTGGGTCATGTCAAACGTGTACCGGATCCCGTTATCCACATGCTCAACCCAGCCGTCGTCGCCCAGCAGCAGAGTCACTGCTGGCGTCCGGGTGCCATCTGGTGAGACCCGCCCTCGTCTGGCCAAACGCTGGACGCCGAGTGCCGAGGCCACTACCCCCCAGAGTTCTGGTTCCAGATGTTTCCACTGCTTGGCTTGGAAACAGTTCTCACTCAGCAACAAGAGGTTACCGTGTCGCTGCCAAGATCGGGGCAAATCAGCCTCCAACTCAGCTGACCATGTCACTCCCCGGCCCTCGGCCCAGCGACTCACCTCAAGGCACAGCCGCTGGGCAGGCGAACAACCCTGGGCCTTCCTGGAAGGCACAGGATCCCGGAGCTGCGTCAGTGCACAGGTGCCGCCTGGAGCCACACGACCCCTCAGCTCCCGCAGGTGCTGCTCGGAGAGCGCGTCTCCCAGCACCGGCAGCGCCACGGTGCCGTCCGGCATCTTCTCCACGCGGTGCTGTCTGTCCAGGAGTTTCTCCTTCTCGAGATACTCCCTGCATCGCTGGGTAAACCGCGGCTCAGTCACCACTGCGACCACGGCCGCGGGCTTCCCACCTTCCTTTTCCATGTCGCCGGCCCCACATTCTCGTGGATTCCCTCCGCCTCGGCTCAGAGTCCACTCCGCCGCAGCAGGAAGAGAGGCGTGCACGCCGCCGTTCCGGGGACGGAAGTGACGTCACCAGCAAGCCGGAACTAAAGGGTGTCGGTACGCCTCCCGCCGATTGGCGTCATCGTTGCCATGGTGAAGCCGCTACTGCCATCTGTATTGTGATCGCCGGCTACTTGGTTCACCCCAACAGGAAATTAATAACAACAAGGGCCTGTGTGGGCTGAAACACTTCAAATTAGTGGGCATCCTCCAGAACCCTCATGCCCTCTCGTCAGGGCTGCTCACGAATCCACAGAGGGAAGTGAGCCTGGAATGATGGGCCGACTTTGGAGAAAGGCTTCCCATAGCCTCACGCTGCTCTCTCAGGTCAGCACCAGCAGCCGCCTTATCTGCTAGTGAAGAATCAGATGTGGATTCCTCATTCCTTTTCCTGGCAAAGATAGTCGTCACCATCTCACTGTCCTGCAGTATAAGAAACGTCTGGAAGTCAGAGGATCTCAGTTTGGATAAATCGTTATCACCTCTCAGAACGAGAATCTTCACCTGTAGAATGGAATAATGTTAACATCCTCAGATGATTGCTATAGTGGTTGGAGATACATACAACTTTGAACCGTGACCAGTAAAGAGTAAATACTCAAAAGAGATATAACATAACACATTGAATTGGTTAAATGGCAGATATATACCGTTTGAAATGCTTTGATATATCTAATGAGGACAAAGGGGAATTATCCAACCGATAAAATAATTGAAAATAAGAATTGCAAAGAAGCCCTATCCTTTTTACTTACCTCCCACCATTCTACAGATTAGGCAATTGAGACCCAAAGAGATTAACAACTGAGGTCCCCAACTCAGGTGTGTCTGTATGGAAGGCACAAGCTACGGCTAAAACACTTTCTTGTCTCTTCACAGCTATTCATTATCAATCAGAATTTTTTAAAATATATTTTTTACAGAGAGGAAGGGAGAGGGATAGAGAATTAGAAACATCAATGAGAGAGAAACATCGATCAGCTGCCTCCTGCACACCTCCTACTGGGGATTTGCCCACAACCAAGGTACATGCCCTTGACCAGAATCGAACCTGGGACCTTTCAGTCCACAGGCTGACGCTCTATCCACTGAGCCAAACCAGTCAGGGCCAGAATTGTTTTGTTTTTAGTTTTTTCTCTATGTTAGAGACTCAGAAATGGAGAAAACATCGACCAAGACAGAGTCGAAGACCCTCTTGGGCCCCATATGCCCTGGGGACTCACCATTCCTGTACATGCTTCTAGCTGCAAGCATTTGGGAGTCTTTGCCTGATGGCTTTCTCTGCTCACCAGAATTATTTTAGCCCAAGTCCAGGGCAGACCAGAAATGCTGGGGAATTTGTGCCCTCCCAGCATCCCACAACCAGTGAGTGATGTGAGTTGGTAAAGAAATCTCCCAACTTCCACACACCTTAGTTGCAATACATCTGAGGCATATTCTCTACTGTCTCCCAGAGTTCTCTCAGGACTCTAATTTTTCAGTATCCTCTCTATGAACTGTGCTTTCAATTTTTCTTTCTCCCCCTCTCCTGGATTATTCCTATCAGTATATAATCATGCTGCCATTTGCCAGCATAACCACCTCTCCCGTGACTCTTCATTCCTACTGAAAGAGCTGCAGGAAAAACAGCTCTTGGCCAGAAAGTGTTTTAGTTCTAAAACATTGCCACTAGATGGCAGCAATTACCAACACCAAAGTAGTGCAAGCTTTGGAGGAAAGTTACTGGGTTTGGATGTCCAGGGCAAATCAAGGGCCTACTGTTCCCCACAGGCCTTTCTTCTGTCATCTATTAGACAGCCCTTACTGACAAACTAATTCAGATGTGTGAATGTGTTTGGCAGCAAGTAATGGAAACTCCAACAAACAGCAGCTCAACAATGGGTAGGGAGGTATATATTCCATATCCTACATAATAAAACCCTAATATGCAAATCGACTGAATGGCGGAATGACCAGTTTCTATGACGTGCACTGACCACCAGAGGGTAGATGCTCAATGCAGGAGCTGCCCCCTGGTGGTCAGTGTGCTCCCAGAGGAGGAGCGCCGCTCAGCCAGAAGCCAGGCTCACAGCTGGTGAGAGCAGTGGCAGTGGTGGGAGCCTCTCCCGCCTCCACTGCAGATGGACAATAAAGAGTGAGGGGTCCAGGACTTCAAGAGGGATGTCTGCCTGCCGGCTTAGGCCCACTCCTAAGCCAGCAGGCGGACATCCCCCGAGGGATCCCGGACTGCGAGAGGGTGAGGCCGGGCTGAGGGCCCCACCCCCACCCCCAGTGCAAGAAATTTTGTGCACCGGGCCTCTAGTATTTAATATAAAAATCCAGAGCTGTAATAGCTATTCAGGGAAATCCTCAGTAAACCAGGCCTCTTCTCAGCCTCCAAACAACTTTCATCCTTGCGGTTGCAAGCTGGCCACTAACTACAGCTCTAGGCTCCGTGAACATAGTGAGGCAGGAAGACTAGAGCAGAGCAAAAGAAATAGGAAGGGCCTGCCCCAAGGACTTCTGCCTATTCCTCCCGCACAGAAAAGGGTCCCATCACCACCCATGACTGGGGGAAGTGGGTTGGTCTTACTTTTTGGTTGATTTCACATTTGATTATGAGGATAATTGAAGACATATAAGGGACGGTATGCAAACATCACCTATTAAGTGACATTCTGCTAGGCCAGCAATTTTCAGCCAGTGTGCCTCAAGAATTTTTAAAACATGCAATACCTGACTATTTAGTCAGGGGCACCAACCTCTTTTCCCTTAGATTATCAAATTAAAAAAAAAATGACAGCAAACATAACAATAGCCGTCCAGTGTAAATGAGTTAAAATTATACCTATTTTTTGGTCAGATCAGCAAAAATATGTATTTTGGATATGCTGCTGAATCTTAGTAATTACTTTATGTGTGCCATGAGATGAAAAGAAAAAGGTTGAAAAATTGCTGCTCTAGGCTATAGACAGAAAAGCCCCTGGAGTCAACACAGAGACTCTGGAGAGGAGTTAGATGCAGACAGAAAAGAGACATCAGAGCAAAGAGCAGCATCTATGAAAACGTTTTACTAATTTAAGAAAAGGCTGAGCTGACTCGTTGCCATGACCTTCACCCAGCAAACCCGTATGCATTGCTGGGAAATGTGAATTCAGATTGGGGATCATCTTTTTTAGGACATCCCTCCAGACTTCTTTCCTTTTCCTCCCATCTGGTGTTTTTGTTTTGTTTTGTTTTGTTTTTTGTGTGTGTGTATTTTAAGATTTTACATTATTTTTAATAGTGGCACTGAGGAAAATAATAACATTCATCAAGTTCATTGATAAATGGCATTTACTTCAATGTTTTATATTAATTAATCTTTCTAAGAACTCTGAGATGTGCACTCTTACTATTCATGTCGTATTTTTTTTTATTGATTTTTTACAGAGTGGAAGGGAGAGGGATAGAGAGTTAGAAACATCAATGAGAGAGAAACATTGATCAGCTGCCTCCTGCACATCCCCCACTGGGGATATGCCGGCAACCAAGGTTCATGCCCTTGACCGGAATCAAACCTGGGACCCTTTAGTCCCTAGGCTGATGCTCTATCCACTGAGCCAAAACAGTCAGGGCTCATGTCGTATTTTTATTTATTTAAGAGAATCTCTAGCTTCAGTTTTTTAAAAATATATTTTTATTGATTTGAGAGAGAGAGAGCGAGAGAGAGAGAGAGAGAGAGAGAGAGAGAAACATCAATGATGAGAGAATCATTGGTCGGCTGCCTCCTGCATGTCCCCCATTGGGGATCGAGTCCGCAACCCGGGCATGTGCCCTTGACCAAAACTGAACCTGAGACCCTTTAGTCTGCAGGCTGATTCTCTATCCACTGGGCCAAACCAGCTAGGGCATTATTCATGTTTTAAATGATATTGAGGTTGTCATCCAGCCAGGAGGTGATGGAGCCAGGGTTCATATCCAGGCCAGCTGACTCCTGAGTCTACATTTTAACTACTACCCCACGCTGCTTTTCAAGCACAATTTGACAGCATTGGTTTTCAGAGGTCTCCAAAATGATGCAATGCACCCCATGAATGCACCCTAGGGGTACGAAGAGGAAATACTAAAATTTTCTTCTTTTGATTCATTTTTTATATCTCCTATCTTTAATTTTTATATCTATACATATGTAACAAAATACATAGCATATTAGTATTGTAACTCTTTTTAAAAAAATTATAAATATGCAAATACATAGTTTAAAGCTCTCTGGGTCATGCTAACGCCCCACTGTCCTGGATCCAGCCCTCAGTAGGCATCTCCTGCTCCATTCTGCTAACTGGCATAGGTTGGGGTAGGCTGGCCCATTGAGGGATGCAGTCCATGAGAGGGGGAACTCAGATGGAATCCAAGGACACAACCTGAATGCACCAGAGATTTACCTTATTATATTCCCTGCTGATGTCAGGTAAGAGAATTGCATTCCAGACAACATGGGGTGTCAGCACTCGACAGCCCCTTGCAGGAGAATGAATCTTGGGGGAGGGAAGAGAGCCACAAGCTCCCTACAAATAAATAGGGAGTATCACCAGCTGCATGGTCCAGTGATCAAGGAACTGCAGCGTCTGGTACCTGCGCCTGGAGAAGAGTGGCCGGGTGTTGGATAGCACTGGTTTGCTGGGCTAGCCTGGGGAAACAGAGGAGGTGGCAAGGGGTGGCCCAGGACAGCGTGGTTGCCACAGAAGCACAATATTTTGTAGCCCAGAACTTCTAATGGAAATGCTTTTCATATTTACTTCTTATGTTAAAGGCAGCTGGGGCCCAGGAGGACCACGGGACCTAGCTCAGCAAGTGCAGAGAGGGAATAGTTCTACCAGCCTCCAGTTTTACTATCCAATGTTAACTATGATTCTCCTTATTACTTAGCCAACACTCTCTTCTTTCTTTTACAGGGAATGCATTTAAAAACCTTAAATCTACACTCAGACAGTCACCTAACTCTCAACAAAGGCACCAAGAATACACAATGGGGAAAGGATAGTCCCTTCAATAGTGGTATTGGGGAAACTGGATATCTATATTCAAAAGAATAAAATTGGACCTTTATCTTACACCAAACACAAAACCAACTCAAGTGGATTAAAGTCTTAAATGTAAGACCTAAAACCATAAAAATCCTAGAAAAAAAACACGGGGAGAAAAGCTCCTTGACACTGGTTGCGGTAAAGATCTTTTGGATATAACACCAAGAGCACAGGCAACAAAAGTGAGACTACAACGAACCAAAAAGCTTCTACAAAGCAAACAATCAGCAAAATGAAAAGGCAACCTATGGAATGAGAGAAAATATTTGCAAACTATATATCCAAAATATCAACTCTTACATACAACTCAGTAAAAAAAAAAAAAGGCAAAGGACCTGAAGAGACACTTTTCCAAAGAAGACATCCAAATGGCCAACAGATATATGAAAGATGCTCAACATTACTAGTTATCAGGAAAATGCAAATCAAAACCACAACAACATAACACCTCACACTGTT